TCACCTCTGCAGGCACTGTGCACCTGTGCCCTGCACTTCCATACTCACCTCAACCACTGATGTGTGCCTCAACACCTTTGTCCTTGGTGGTGTGCCCACAGATGCTGGATTAAATCCTGCTGCATTGTTTATTGAGTGCCCTTGAGTGCACCAGCCCTGTGAAAAATAAATAGGCAGTACCCAGTTGTATGTATCTTGACAGAAGAGGGCTGTTTTAAATTTGCATGGGTAACCTTTTTTCAAGTTTCTTGTCAAATTTCAAGCTCCTTAACTTTTGAGTGTTTGATGTAATGCTTTCAACATTGTTCTGGAAGAGGTTTTTTTTAATTGTTATTTTTGGGAAAAAAACCCCACCAAAATCAAACAGACATGAGACAAGCCAGTACCTGTGTTCTAGATAAGCCCTAGAAAAGCTCACTGGAAGACCCTGGCCCTTTAATCTTTAACTGCACCTGGAAGAAACCACAAGTTAGGCAAGTGTGAGAAGAGGAGGAGGTTTGGCCTGAAGTTGTGGGTTTCACCTGCTGACTCAGGGCCTGGGAGGCCAGGAGCGGGGACAAAAGGTGTCTTGTGATGGACTCCCGAGGAGAAACTAACATAGATTTTATAAAGTATAAACCTTTCTTGTCTTGATTTTCATCAGCATATTGATGAGATGGTGCAAGTTAAATAGACATTTAAATACACCTTTGTTTCTAATATGCTTGTTTGTGATTACCTAACAGAATATTTTATATAACTATCATAACTTGTAACTATTTTCTGATCTTTCCTTGAACCACATATCACAGAGGTCTAGCAAGATTCAGGGAAAAAGATCTGATAGAGAACAAACTATTTTTGAGTATTGAGGTAACTTTCATTCAGTTTCCACACCAGTCAGTAAGAGGTTTCATAGTTTCAGTGGCAGTGAAGCAGATGACAGCTATTCTGAGTAGGTTGTGTTGTGCAGTGTACAAAGGCAAAGGCAAAACCTGCTACGGACAAAGATTGGTCAATGCTGCTTTCTTAGCTGCTCTGAGAAACAGAGTTGAACAGTTAAACGTCTGTGTGCTCTTTCCATAAGCCTGTTTGTTAGTTTTTCCTTGGTATATTTAGTCTCCTGAAAGTTAGGTTTTTTCTTCCATGGTGCTATTCACAGATAACCTTAAAAATTATTTTCTTGCTGTCTGTTTGTATTTAAACACCCCCAACCACACCAATATTTTCTGTTTAAGTTGATTTTGGTCTCTACCTTGTTTCCACTTTGTCCTGTGCTTTCTGCATTTCCTTTTCCAAATAATTATCAGACTGTCCCTTCTCTTATGCCTGGGAGTAGCAGGAAGAGCACAGAGCATGGGGAGACATGAGGTCCCATTTTTAAGAGGAGGGCTAAGGCTGGTTTTGCTGAGCACTGAAAGCAATTCAGCAAGATATGGACACTTGGGATAGCAGACTTGAACAGGCATTTTTTTAAAAATTAAATTATGAGCAGCATTTTAGAGCAGAAAGTTGTCATTTTACCTGTGATCAATGCACATGAATGCTACTGCTATCTTGCCCCACAGGCTTAAGTGAAGGATGCAAGAGGAGGTCTCTGGATGTCTCTGACATGTCACTTTGTGCAGCTCAGCTGAGGAAAAAACACAGAAGGTGCATAGCAAATAGAAAGCAAGAGAGTATCTCTAATAGCCAAATAGTTCCCATTGCCACAGCCTCCTCAAGGGTTAAGGTACCCTTGCTCTGCAGTGGTGTTCAGCTCCTGAGCCACAGGGGCAGAGATGGGTGAAAGCTTCATTCCAGGTTTCACTTGGCATCACACCTGGGTTATAACCCTTGATGTAAATTCTGCCAAACCCTGGTTTCCTAACAGAGACTTTAAAAAACAACAAAAAAAAATCCAAGTCCTCTTAACGTTTTTTTAAGGTGCTACTCTAATTTCCAAGAATCCTGTATCTACTGTGTTTTGAAATCAGCTATGTTTGTGTAACTGTTGGCTAATAGGATTTTATAACAGTATGCTTCAATTTCCGATAATGAAATATCTCTTGCAACCTGATACTCTGGGGTACAGCTCACAATTTATACAAGATAAAGTAGCCCTGCCAGCCTGTGTCACATCCTGCCAGTTAGGTTCGCAAAAGGTTGAATTTGAACACGATTTTCTCAAGAACTGTGGGGTTTTTTAAATTAAATTTCTACAAAAATCAGGGAGACACAGAAAAATTTGTGTTTGCTGGAATTGACGGTCAATTTCTTCACTTGAAGTAGGGATTGATGGGGGCTGCTGTGAGGTTTTTGAGTGCTCAAAATTGATAATACTACTTCTAAGCTGAAAAAGCTAATTAAATGACACCATTATAAAAGAAGATATCACCCTAGACCAGAGACAATTCTCTCTGAAATAAATATCCAAAATTTTTACTGTCAAAGTCTTACTGTTAAACATATTATAATAACTATATTCAATTTCTCTTATGTGAAACAGGATTCACTTGCCTCAACAGGGTTGGGATTTTTGCCATCTTTTTACTTGTACTAGGATCTTGGTTCTTAAAAACAGCTTCTATAGCATTTGGGGAGTAACTAATTTTCTGATTTAAAGATCTTAACTTTATGTTGCACTTCTGTAGCAAATTATTATAAAGGAAGAAAAAAAAAATTAACCTTGATTTTCCTGGTGTGATTGTTATACATCAGGAGTATTGCTCATTGCGCTTTTAAGGAAAGATTTTATCAAAATTATTTATGTTACCATAGCAGAACACAGAAACAGTTCATTTTGATTCTTCATGTGCCCAACCTCTCTGTCCATTAGAAAAAAATAATTCATCCATAAATGGAGAATTTACATATTTCACAAAAAATAGACTGAAATGCTGTTTTTTCAAACAGCATTTGAGGGTATAAATTGATAGGGTTATACACCAACACATCAGAAAAATGCCATATCAAAATAAAAAATGTAACAATTTCTGGACACTTCTTCTCTGTGGGACTGCAAAGAATAATCAAGTAATGTTACAGATGAAGTGTGAACCATGAAGGGGAAAGTATTGTCTAGCAGTTCTCTGACCAGATCTGAGGAGTTCTTATTTTTCAATAAAATAATATTGCTCTGAGGAGCAGCATGTATGTGTTTGATTTGGTTTTCTCTCCTTTTATCAATGATAATGGCTAAAGCAGAAGAAATTGGGCTTTTAGAACCAGCCTAGATACTTTTCTTATTGGTGTAATAAATACTACCCTGTGACTGGAAAATAAAAATCTTATTTTTCTTAACTGGATGAAAAACACCCTGGTGTCTTGAAGTCGAAATCTGTTTAGATATAGATGTTGTGTTAAAGTATTTGTAAGATTTTTCACATTAAGGGTCTTAACAAGAGACGTCTACAGTCATTTTGCAAACCCCAATGTGGTAGAAATAATTTTTTCATTAACTAAAGGAGTAGGATGCCTCAAAACTAGTTTGAGATACATGTAAATGAATATGCTTTTTCTGTTCAGAGAGTAAAAGATGATGTTGGTAGAGATTTTTTAGAGGGGAGGCTTTGGTGACTTTTTGTGACAGGTTTGCTTAAAAAAGAAAAACTGCATAGTTAGGCTCAAAAATTGCTAGTGAGGTTTGCTTACTAAAATACTAATATTTAAGAGGTAGTTTTCGTAAACCTTCAACCTTTCTAGCAGATTTAGTGTGGCTGGGTCAGGTCTACCCCCAAGAAGATTAAAAGGTATAAATTTAACCTTTTTTCTCAATGTAACCATAGAGTTAGAATTGTCATGGCTCTCTTGGCTGAAATGGTATCATGGTCATAGCTCTCAAAACAAGCTGCTTTGGAAAGCAGGTTCACACTTTGAAATCTATCCAGCATGGTCCTGGATAGGTTTCATTTCAGAATCCCAGTCTGCTCTCTTATCAGTTGGAGTGCTGCATGCTACTTGGAGATGGATCATCACTTGCCAAAAATTTGCCAGGGCTTGAAATGAACAGGACTAGATCCTATCTCTGCTCCTCAGGGGAGGTTTGGGAACATCACTGCCCAAAGTCCAGCTACCCAGGGGCTTCCTGCACAGAGCCAAATGTGGGGGAGGAGATTGTGTTTAACGCATGAATTTTAAAGCTAGTGCTTTCTTTTGTTTTCTCCCTCAGGAAGTGTGTAAATGGCAGTGAATGAGCCTAGGACTCCCTCACTGCAAGGTGAGAATGTGAGAATTTGTTGCTGGTGGTGCTCTGTTATGCTCAGCTGTCCCTGCTCACCAGCTGCCCAAAAGGAGTAGCAGTGAAAACATTTTGTGAAAAGGTGCTTCTTGCTCCTATTTGGAGACTTGAAGTCTTTGTGATGTTGCTTGCTATAACATCAAGAGAGATGTTTGTGTTTGAACTGATTGAACTTCCACTCTTCCCAAAGTATTTTGTGCTTTGCTCAGTGTTTTGGGAAAAGACAAATGGCCTTCTGACACTGCAATCTAATTTTCTAAGGGAATGAGCTGTTTTAGCAACAAAATGCAATCTTTAGCATCTTAAACACTCTGTCTACTTGAATTGAGTGCAATATCTTTGTGTGCTTTATACAGACTAGATTCTGAAACTAGAAAAATTGATAGTAAACTGTAGTTACAACTGTAGTTGTAACTGTAATTGTAACTGTAGTTACAGGTAGTAGTAATATTTTTATAAAATGAAAGGTGGATGCTAATGAATCAGTGAGTGGTTCAATGTGATACAGCACAGGCTCTCTGACTGAAAGTGATGTCTAAAACCTAAAACTGTAATTGCTCCAGTGAAGTCAACCTCTCTCCACCTCTTTTGAGGCAGAAACTAGTAAGTACTTCAAAACACTTCCAACTATGACGCCACGGGCAATTTTAACTGCAGCATTTCCAATATCCCAAGTCAAACCTTGGAATTTTCTTCTAATCTTCTCAAAGGTATGGAGACAGGCTGCCACGAGAAATGAATTCTGAGGTATTCCCAACCCTCCAAAAGGGAGAAACACATCAGGCACATCAGTTCAGGCACATTTTAATCATGTTAATCACCTAGCATATTTGGCATTTTACTAAGGCTAAAAAATATCACAATATGATTAATTTTATATTTTAAGATACTGAGAAATTGCAGAAATTTAATCAACCTGAAACACAGATACTTCATTATCCTCTGAGGTGGCTGAAAGGCAATTCTTTAAAGCTGGCAGACTGTGAGATGATACATATTGCATTTTTTGTCATTCCAGGTGCCATCAGTGTACATCTCCACACATTTCTCTCTCCCTTTGCTGTTAGGCTCATGCTGGTGCCAGTTGCTATAATTCAGAGGCATGCCATTTATATACTTAAACTGACCTGAAGTCTCGCCCTTTCTAATGCCCAAGTAGGCATATTGGTTATGCTGTTTCACAATGTCCATAATAGCTTTATTCTCCTCTTCATTCCTGGGAGCTGCAAGAGTTCCTCCAACCTCTTCACAGGATTGTAGTGCAGATGCAAAGTCAGCTTTCTTCCCATTGCTGGCAAGTATTTTCTCTCCTACTTTTCTTATTTCCCCGTTCAATGCAAGCACTGAAACATGAAGAGTTAGCTTTGTAAATTTTCTGTGGCATACTGATGTAAAAGCAAAGGAAGAGGAATCAGGAGATAAAGAGAAAACTAAAACTGTTAAGAGGAACAGAGGGATAAATTGAGCAAAGGATGAAGAAGAGTGAAGATCTTTAATTTTACCCATTCACTAACTGTTCACTAAATGTATTTCACTGTTTGTGACCGTCTGTCCTTGTCTCCAAGACAAGGATGTCCCACCAACATCTGCTAAATATCAGCCCTGTTATATTTTGTGTACTTTGTAAAGATCAGTGTGCTTCAAATTTGAGCAAGGGAAACAGAAATATTATAATAGTTTTGTGAACCCCTTTTCAGTACAAAACAATTTACCACATTAACATTTACCACATTTAACAATCTGGTTGCTGATAGAGAAAAGAGGTACAAGCCTGAGTTTCCACGAATCCATGCAGAAAGTGCAACATCAGTTAGCTGGAATATTTTTTAAAATAAACACAATTTTAATAAATGTGGATTATGATTGCCATGAGGAATCTGCTTCCCTCCAGGACAACTTGAATCCTGACTTCCCCTGCTTGGAATGAGAAAATAGAGTTTTGGGATATGTAGTATCCTTTCCAAATGCAGTTTCTTTCCTGCAAGTCGTGATTCTGTAACTAACTTTGCCTACTGCACTTAAAACTGGCTGTGAGCTGAAAAGGTTACAAGGGGAAGAATTACCAGCTTCAAGTTGGAAAAGTCGGTGTTTCAAATTTGCTAAAGCATTGTGGCGTTTGGCGGCCAGAGAATCAGACAGACCTGTGCAGATAAAAACAAAAGTTATACAGTCAAGTAAATTTCCCAGGCTGTGCTGCTAGGAAAAATCCCCTGGACAAAATAAATTATTTTCCAGACCTGACTTGCAAATGTATTTTTTAACATCAAGTGTAAAATAGATATTTCCCAGCATTTTTCACACTGTTGTTAATCTGAAGTATTAAAGCAAACTAATCAAAACATCCAATCCTATGAAATGCTGATAATTCCACTCTTTAAAAAAGAAACTGAAGCTTTATAAGTTGAAGCCTTTTGTTAGTTACATCTGTGAAAATGTCTTTGCCTAAGAGAATTGGTTTAATCCCACTACTTGGTAGTGAACTGGCACAAGGGATACTTTGAGGAGGAAACGGTTTCTATGGCACCATGTGATTGTCTTTCTCAAGCGCTGGGTTTTTATGCTTTTTGTTTATCAATGGGAGCCATAAACAGTGGTAGTGGAAGGTTTCTGGATAGTGAGTGAAAAACATCCAGTGCTGCTTGCTAAAGATGGGAAGCCACTGTAAAGATAGATTCTTTTTTTTTTCATACCACTTTCCACAGGTAACAGAGGTCCTACATGTAGAATAAAGTCATTAATGTACTCCCATGATCATAATCCACAATTCAAAATTGAAACAAACAACAATGTAGAAGCACAAAAGCTTGCTGCATTCCCGAGCTGCAACGTTGCAACTCCTCCTGCACTTCACACTCCATTAAAAAAAACCCCATATGTGACCTAATACAGGGAGTCTGGGAATAATTCTGACAGTGCTTTAGCCTTGGCAGCAGACCCGGAGAAGCCATTTCTACATACATATACATAATATGTATATGCTGGAGTGTTGATAAGCTGTTCAATTCCCCTCTTCCCCCAGAACACTGAGGAGACCTGCTTTTTAGAAAAAAATTAAACTGCCTGTTTCCTCTATTCTGTTTTCCTTCCTGTGCTTAACACATCTACTTCCTTGAGAGCACGTGTCCTTCTGTGTTATCTGTTTCTAGTCATGCAGCCTTCATGACACAGGTCTCTTGCCAAAGAGGCGAGTTTGCTTACCTTTCAGACCATCTCTTCCAGGGATACCAGGTAGCCCAGAAATTCCTGGACATTTACTCAATGCATGGCAAGGCACTAACACAGCAGCCAGTGCTATGAGGATGGAGGATGAGTAAGACAACATGATTTCTCAGGCCAGCTGTAAAAAACCCACACATTTGTCAGGCAATGATTCTGTAAGAAATTGTAGACATTGGTTTACATAGCTGCACACTCCTGCCCCCCACCCCCTATCATCCCTTCTTGAAATTTACATTATTTCCTTGTTTAAATAAAATTTATAATTCAGTTGTAAGAGATTTCCCAGATTTATTTTGCAACCACTGTGTAACTTATACACAAAACTCTTTCTAGACTGATAAACTTGGAGTGGTGAAGATAAACTATCCCTTTCACTGTCACTGACTATTTGTTGGATTAATCCTTGAGAAATTATAGGCTCAGAGGTAACTGATCTCACTTAAGCCATCAGTCCTTGCCTGCAAGGACTATAATCACTGAATGATGCATAGGATGCTAACCTGAAAAGCAAATCTGTTACAGAGGTACTTGTAATGTTTGGGAGCTTGTTAAAGCCCAGCACTATCTAAGTACCTTTATTTGGCATAAACTGGTACTCTTTTACACATGGGCAAAACTTTATAGCTCAATTGACATTCTTATCCTGTTTTGAACAAAATTCCACGGGCTCCCAAATGCCAGTCAATCTTGTAGGAAATGCATTTTTGCTGGTTGGCAATAGGCTTATTCATCTTTTATCCCTACATATAAAACAAGAAGTAGGGTTTTATAATGTTAGTGCTGAGCTATTGTGACTAAAAAGCATTTTAATGTGGGTTTACAGCAGAGTGAGTGGGTGTGCTGTGCAGCTGTGAAACCTGAAGGACTATAAGATACTCTGGCATAGAAATATCCAGTTATTGACATCATTCAGTGAAACTAACAGGAGATATAAAGAAAGGTTCAATATGCCAGAATGAGTATCCATTTCCAAAGGGGTGATGCTCATTGGTTGACTCATACAAAACAAAACTTGCTATCCATTACTTCACTTTTCTGTTGGCACAAATCAGAGGATCCTGTACCTGCTCGCTCTTAAAACCTTCCATCTTTTTTTAAAAATCAGTGTTTACACATACTAGATTCTAAATCTAGCTCCACTTAAAATTTAAACTAAAAGCTTGGTTGTCTTGAATGCTGTGAGATTATTAACACCTAGGTTCATCAGCTATAACAAAGTATTTGTCATTATATTTCAAAGTATATATGCCAAGCAGAATCAAAATATCAGTGTAGTGTCATTTATTAAATGAAAAGAAAAAATTTAAGATTTTAAAAATTTAAAAGAAAAAATATTGGTTTTGTCTTCCATATTGACCCTGCTAGAAGACTCTTGAGATTATTTTTAATCTGCATCAACAGCAACTTGTTTTTCTAGGGGACTGTCTCATCAAAGTCAATTTGATGCGACATACCCTTGAATACATTAATATCCAATTATGTCATAAATTTGCAGCACATAGGGATCATAAATTTATAGGATCTGTTTAGCTAATAGCAGGATGGTCCAGAATTTGCACTTTAAAGAATGCAAAATCAAATCCACCTGAGAACACCTGCGCAGTATTAAAGGTGCTGTTGAGTTTTGTTTGTTGAATCTGAAGCATCTTGAGTTGTTTACTGAAGGCCAGCAGACACCTCTGGAAACACTGGCCAGTGACTCAGAGAGAGCAGGTTATTAAAGACCCCAAGAGAAACCTAGCTTAGGTGGCTAGGAATACTTACATCCTTGAGATAAGGAGATGCAATTACATTGTATACCCTTTGCCTGGTGATGATCATTTGGGGAATTACATTTGAATGGACTACTGCATCCAGCTCATAATTGGATTATGATGCAGAGTCAGACTCCTGATCAGTTATACAGCAAAATGGAAAAAACACAGCTCTTCAGTTTTAATGACCTTCATCAGTCATTACTATCTAGTGTCCTTCAGGCATCTCCTTATCTACTAAAATTGCTAGCATAAGCAAAGTAAAAAAATTACTAATAAAGGGAAATTTAATTTTTGAAGGTAAATATGACCACAGAAATCAAAAGGAATGGGTTTGCCTTCTAGCTGATATTCCTTGTGATTTATTAAAAGGAAATTCAACTTACCCTTCTGCTTCAAAGTGAAATGAAAAAGCAGTTCACACAAATCCCCTTTATATAGTGTCATGTTTGTTAAATGATATGGCTGAAGTGGAGACTGGATACTGAGGCCACGAATGAGCTTTTTCAGTTTTGCTGACATACTTGTTATGCAAATATTGAGTTCAGTTTTAAGGGCTGAGAAATTTCTCTTTTTTTAAAAAAAAAATAAAGCCAAAGTTGTAGAAAATGCAATCCAGAACTAACAGATAACCCCAGATTCATAGACACAAAATATACAAAAACATGAAGTAAGTTTCAGCAATTCTAGGTTGTATTTAAAAATTGTTTGTTGTTTTGTAAAAGCAAAAAATGGCAGATGACCACCAGTGGCTCCTGTAAAAGGAAAGATACTCTTGTGGTTAAGCTTAGGGAAGCCTGGTACCTTCCAGGTTGTCTGACCCAGTAATCAGAATTCTAAACCTTGCCTCCCCTCTCTGTATCTGATGTATTTATCTTACCGTAATATAGTTTTCTAGCTATGTACTAGAATGCTCAGTGTTTCCATGAGCTTCTGGTCTCTCTTGCATGTACAAGACAGCTGATCCTCTCTTGGTCAGAGATGGATCTTGGAAAAAATCTGTATACATGCACGAAATTCTCAAATGGACATAATTTTCAAGAAAAAAAGAAACCAGAGGTTTTTCTCCACTTGTTTCCCAGAAATAAATATTGGGAGTTTGTAACTTCCTTCTGGTTCTGACGCCTTCTGCTCTAGAATGTTTGATCCTAGATGGGGTTTGTTTTATAAACCTCAGCAAGCCAACACATCAGTGCTCTCTTAAAGACAAGATGTTTTCTATTTTTCATTTGCATTTTACTAAAATCATTAAAGTTTTGTCATCATCTCTAGTGTTATTATTTCTGAATAATTCCAGCAGGATTCACAAGCTAACATCTTTAGGCTCCCTGTTCAGCAATTAGAGATTTTTAATATCAACTGGCTGACCTAGCCAAGATAAAATACCAATGCAGAAGATACATTTAGGATTCCCCTTAGATCTAGTGCAGGCACTTAAATTCACTTCCATTCACAACTGTGAGCCTTGTCCTGCAGTTAAAATTTGTTCAGAATGGCCTGTTCTCCATCTCAGAAACCCATACAAACAGCAAACTGAGGGCAGATCAGGTGTCCTTCCCAGCAAATGATCAGTTAACACTGACAAATGTATGTTATAGACAATCTAGCTTCAAAGTCCTTCCTTTACCAGATGGGCAGCAGAGCACTGAATGCAATTAGTCCTTTTACAAGACCTCTCACCCCACCAATGGAAACTATTTCTCTCTGTAGTCCAGATGAGGAAGATGTAAAAAACTGGTGTTGAGTGCATAAGATGTGGATTAGACAGTACCCAATAGATTTTTTTTTTTTTTCTTCCAGTTTCTGTTGGACTTTGGAAATAGCACAGATACCAGACAACTGAGCACAGGAACACAGGAATTCTGTTTCTGGATGGAAGCAGACCTCTGGGGTACATAGGAAATTTCTTCCATTTCAGAATACAGTGGAATTTAATGGATCCAGACTTTGGCAAGCAATATTTTAAATTACTAGGTGCCCACTTTTTTGGGACTATTACCAGATCGAAATCTCATACAGATCTAATTTCTAGGCAGCTCTGCAACAGTGGTAAGGGCAAGTTTTTCTGCTGCATCATTGCATATACATGCAGCTCTAATACAAGAACATGACGAGTCTCTGGAGATTTCTACTGTTTCTTCAATCTAAAAGAGTTTATATTATAAAAAACTTAAAGACTTGAAAACATTAAGCAGGGAGATCAGTAAAGCCCCACTAGCTATTATCTCTATTTATGAAAGTGTGGCATGAGCAAAACGTGGCTTATGATCTAGGAAAACCTTATCAATTATTATCTTTTACCAAACCTTTTGAAGAAAGATACATTTGATAACAGTTGTTCTCCCATGAGTCAGATCATACTTACACAATGGAATCTGATAAGAAATCTAAAACATAATCCAATGTGCTAGATTACTTAGTCATTAAATTTACTTTCCTTAGTTATGCAGCAGAGAATGAGGGAAAACAAACGTGCTCAAACAAGGAAGTAAGTAAGTAAATATATTTTCCTGCAACCTAGCATCCCTGTAGAATAGCTACAAGGATGGGAATTCTGAATTTTGCAGGTAAATCTGTGTAGTAATGGCTGAAGGCTTTTAGCTGGGAAATACCCATAAAACTCAGCCAGGAAACTTTAATGGTTTCAGTGGACCCCAGGTACTGCATACCTCTTTCTATCATTAGGAAGAACCATAAGAATATTAAATATGCTGTGCTGACAGTGAATTAAACCTTTCTCAATATCAGCGAAGGAGAACTTGGGGGGAAAAAAGGAATCTGATTTTCAAGGTGTCAAGCAGCCAAAAAGACTGCTGCTTTCTTTAACAGCTCTGCATGCTACCCTCAAAGAACTAACTGCCAAGGGGGTTTCACAACCAGAAGTAATTTTATACTGCCTTTAAGCCTCTTATTTTCAGAACACAAGGCAAACTCTTTCACATAAAACAGTGATGTGTACAGCCTTGCTTGTTTATTTTAGCAATTTGTGAGACAATAATTTAAAATGTGTCACTGTGCTGCAAGTTCTGGATATTGACTCTGAGTGAGTCCTTGGCACAGCAGCTGTGTGGTAAGCAGGTGTGGTCAATTCTCCATGTTTACCTCTTTTGAAACAACAGTAATTTCTTATATTTTTCTAGTATTTCCACTATAATTTATTTGCTGAGCTTTAAATCATACAGAGTTAAGCGTCTAAAATTACTTTTAAGAGTCCTCATTGGCATCAGCTTAAGACTTCATCAGAAATACAGGGCAGTAAATATATATCAACTCTTAGGTCACGAAACAATCCAGTAGGTGAAGTGTTACCTCCTCCCCACCTGCAATTTAATTTTATTGACACAAAACCAAACAAAAATATGGGAAGCTTAACAGTCCCCCACCTTTGGAAAATAAGAAACACTGATAAAATAGTCTGTATGCTAATTTACAGTGCGTTGATCCAGGAATGGGAGGAAAAGAATGTAGGCAGTGTGGCACTTTATCACACTGCTAATACTGAAAGAAAATTCTGCTGTGTGTGCCCTAGACCTTAACTTGAGGATAAACATCTTACAGGAAGAATGAAATTGCTGATGAGACATGTTTATATTGATGAAAAAGCCATGGCATCAGAGAAATACTGTCAGCTCAGTCATATAATGTTATTTTGGGGAGTGGATCCCAGGGAGATTTCTAGGTTTAAGTGTACACAGGTGGATGGAGAAAAAGAAAGAATACTGAATATAGATCATGAGTTTCCAAAAAGGAGACAGCACAGATGAGGAACAGAGCTTGGATCATTGGATCTAAAAGAGCTGGCTTCACCAGACTGAGCTGAACAGCCCATGCATAGTCTTGTTATTCCAAAGTATAAAAATCATACATTCAAGACAAAAATATACATAAATAGAAAGGAAAAAAGAAAAAAAAAAAGGCTTCAAGCAGACCCCAAATCCCTTTCAATCTATCAATTTTCCATTCTAGGAAAAGCAATTCAAACTTTGCTATCAAGCAAAGTTCAGTTTTTCTAAAAAAATGTCATGGTTCTCTCCTGTCAAAAACTGTGCAAGTTAAGCATGTGTTAATAGAACTACTTGGCCTTTGCTTTCAGATTATATTATATTCCTTCTCTCTCATATACTTGAAATAATTGATTTAAATACAGATATCAAAGTGGTCTCTTGGGTTTTATGAAAATGATAGGTGTGGTGCTACAGTCAAATCATTTTGACTGAACTATTGTTTCTATGCTTTGAATTAAAAAAGGAGAAAATCAACTAGAGCACATTAAAACAAAGGCATCAAGTAGCTCTTGCTTTGACAATAATAGACAAATTTAGACACAGACTTCTTCTTTCCTTTGGGCAGGACAAGTGCATTACCCTTCTCCCCATATTCTTTATCCAGGTTTGGTAAAAATTTTGACCATACTGTAAAATTAGCTTCTGGCTTGTCCTTTCATAAACAGAAACCAGAAACATTTCACTCTAAATTTCCAGCCTTATAATGCTTTCAAATCTTCTTCTTACCTGTTTCAGAGCTAGAACAACTAAAGTTTAGAGACATCCTATTCCTAGGATCACTGAGAAATCTTGTTGGTTTGGTTTTTTCCCTCAGATCTTCAATTCACCTTTGTATCCTGTAGGATTACATTACCAGCTCTAATTCCTCCTTTCATCTTCTGCACCAAGTAGCCCTCTTACAGGAATACTACACAACAGTATGGGACATGATTCCTACTCCTTGTTCAACAACACAACAAAATTACATGCTGCAGTGTCAAATAGGTGTGTCATGGTGGAGTAAATATTGCCTTCTTTTACTGGAAATAGTGCAAAGAGTAATGCTGGAGGTGTCCTGCCACTTTATGTTCCCATAGAGAAGAACTGGACTGTTTACCTTCCATCAAAATTGGTAATAGGAAGCAATTTATGCCTGAACAGCCACTGGCCAACATTGCCTTGGAAACGTGTGCTTGCAATTCATATCTTGCCCTTATAAATAGCCACATGGCTCTTGTTATCAATTTAAAATAATCTAGCCTGATGATAGAAAAAAAAATCCTACCAAGCTCTTATTATGTTGTTATTGCTGGGAAATGGCTGTGTTATGTCTCACTGGAAAGTGTTAGAACATATGTATCCAAAAGCATTGACACTGTTTTATTTGCAATTGAAATTCAAAATCCTTGGGAGAAACTTGTTGTTGGAAACACATGGCAGAAAATACAGAGTAGCAAAGGAAAATAATAAACTCACCAAGCTGCTGTTAAGGTCTGATGATTGCAGTGAAATGAAGCTACTTTGTATTTTACTGAAGAGACACAACCATTAATGAAATTCCCAGCAAACACCACCTATTGTGTTTTTTATTGCTGTTATGAGCTGAAAATTAAGATAACGGGTATTACGGAATTCTATTTTTCACAGATTTTTTTCAGGAGAGTGAACACAAAATTCTCTGTGTTTTAGCTGGTTGTGTTGTTAGAAGCATGTAGAGCTTAACATACCAAATCTGCTTCTTTTGCACATTTAGATTACAATTTGTGCAAAAGCAGAGGAGCATTTTCTAGCAGACAGCTAATAAAGTACTTCATCATTTCAGTTCCCCTGAAAAGCAGAGATCCTGAGCACCTGATGGGTCAGTGAGGCCCAGCCCTGCATCCACCCAGCTCCTGCAATTCCTCGTGGTGGTTCTGTGCTTCACCCCCAGAGGAGCAGCTCGGGGCTGGGGGCTCAGGCAGCAGGAGCCAGCAGGGCTGCACCGAGCTGGAGTGTGCTGACATGCAAAGGAAAGCTGTAAGTGCCCAAGGAAGCAGATTAATCTCCTTACCTTGTATTGATACATCTCAGCTGGCTTGAAACTACTTGAGGTCCAGTTATTGCAGAGGCTTCAGTGCAGAAATATGGGAAATATCTTGGAAGGTTCCTGCAAGGGTAAATGAGAAAAGCTGTTTAAAGCCCCTTGAAGTTCATCTAATAGACAAAACCAAGGAACAGATGAAGACTCAAAGAAATAGAAACACAGCAAAGGGGAATGAATAGAGTTCTACACCCTCAGATTCTCTCTCAAGGGATGGGGAGATCTTGAATGTTGCTTGAGGCCAAAATTACTCAAACTGAAATTGTTTAGTAGGTTATTAAAACACAGCAGACTTAACTTGAATGACAAATCAAAGAGAATGTTTAATAACTATGAGAAATGTAATAACCATGAATGTCAACTACTTAACTAATAAAATATCATTTTGCTATTCCAGGGGGGTCACCCCTTACATCCTTTATATAGCTTTATATGCGGATTAGAAGATTTAACACTGTTTTTGTTAGTAAGACAAGAGAAACTCTACACAATTATTGATAATTATTTCAGCTACCTATTCTAGTATAAAAGATATATTTTATAGTATACTGAAAATATTCATTATATTTATTTATAATCAGATTTGGCACTCTACTTGGATTTGAGGACTCATTCTAGGCAGACAGGAACATGCTCACTTCCTAGAAGAGGGAATCTACGCAAGAACTCTTCAAACATGCTCATTTTTCAAGTAGTCTCACTGTTTGTCTGCCTTACCAGAGCGTCCCAGGGATCCAAGGTAGAGCACAGGTTTTCCCCAGCTGTGCCTGGGCTCAGCCCTGCCCTGCGTACACTGGAGTGCCTCTTTCACAAGATCAGGCCACTGCCATTGTTCCTGTGGATAATCCTCTAAAGCTGAAGTGACTTTGATTATTAACTTATAAAATTCAGCTTTCAAAACCTGGAGAACAGCTGCACTCCTAAATGTTTTGGTACCAGTGTCACCATGCTGGTAGTGCATTGCATTTCTCTAACATCTATTTTTCCACACAAATGGGGCCCAACTGTTTAATAACTGCCATCATTTATGGGTTTTTTAACCTTTCTGAGGAACATTGTGACTGTTACAGAGATAAGTAATGTAAACTATTATATTTTCAACAACTCACACAGTTTGCCATAGTAAAGACAAAATTCTGAAGTATTTTGAGAATATTTGACAAAAATGAACTTTAGGACTGCAGCATTCAAAACCATTGGAGAGCTCCCAGTAACCTGAGACCAAAAGTAATATACAAATTTCAGTGAAGTGATATATAACATACTTAAGCACTGTAGACACATTTGAAATATTTCTTAAATAGCTTTTATAACTGCTATTGTGTCAGGAGCTGAAAATTTTGTCATCCAGTGTTGCCATATTGTTGCTAACACTTAATTCCCACTTATTAAAAATATAGGTTTTGCTTTAAGATAGAATTTAAAACATGATGTTATAAAGAAACAAACATTTTCACTTTGCTTGTAGAACTTTTCCATTGAAAGGCTTTTAACTTTTTTTCACCATTAGTCATGAAAGCTAGAAATGCACTTCACTTATGAAAATGAAAGATGACATTCTCCAGAGGGTGGCAATTGCAGCTTGAATATTCTACTATTACCATGCAGTAGAAAATAACAGCCCATAGAGGACCATCAGAAGCTTCAAGATAATATTTGCTCCACTAGTTTTTGATGCAAATAAAATATCTACTAAGCAGGCTTAGGAAGTACTATAAGTAACCCCCTTTTTTTTTCATTTTATTTGCAGCTGTAGAACAGAAAGGTAAAGAGGTAAAAGGATTTAAAAAGTACATCACTTCCTCCTGTTTTCACCATGCTTTTGTGAATTTGTATGGCTGCTTAGGCAGGGTGGAGAGGGTATAAGGGGATGGAGGAGTTAAAAGCTTGTGATCTGTAGGCAGTGTAGTTCTGATCAAACCACTTCTGAGTGGGACACCTTTACAGAGGTGCCACTGGATATGTAAAGTGCAAGATAGGAGATAATCAAGAGAGCAACTAATGCAGACTTTATGATTTTGCTGAAGAGGTTTCAGGACCTCCAACTAAATTTGGTGAAACACTGTGTCCATCTCAGTTAAAGAAGTTTGTATGGTTCAGCTTCTCTTACATAGAAAGAAAACTTTACATTATAAATGTGCTTGGGTATAATTCTTGGGGCAGGATGGAAATTTGCATGGAACTTTTTTCCTACATAGCTGAAGCATAAGGCAAAGGTGGCCAAGTGTTGTAGCACAACCCTGCAGGTGGGAAGAAGGGGAAGATATTCTGTTCAGGATCCTCCAAATAAGCCCAGGCAGCCTGATGAGGAAAGGAAGAATGAAACACTGAAATTGAGGCTGCTGCACTGCTGAGCTGGTGCAGGTCTGTTTGCATGAATCCCAGTTTAGCAATCTCAGACTCAAATCAGACACTTAAATGTGGCTCGGCTGCTGCTCTCACATTCTGTGTATTTAGTCCAGCTGCTTGAAATTTTATCTGAATTTCAACACCCTGGAAGAGGATGCCAACCAGTTGCACGCTCTAGAGTCTTCCTCCCACTGCAAATATGCCAGAAGTTTCTTGCAGGATTAGCACACAGGCTCAGTGCTGAGGGACAAACTGTGCCACTAGCTGAAGTCATAAACAAACCAGAGCTCACAGAAAGCCAGGAAAAAGCTCTTACAACTGTCAACCCTGAAGCACTGATCTAAACAGCTCAAGCTGCTGGTGTCTGAATCTTCACTGGGGTGACAGGCCATAAAAAGAGATTTTAACTGCAGGTGCCCCAGGAAAAAAGTCATTTGTGCTAGAGAGAGCACAGAGTATCCAGTCATGCTGCTAGTGTTGAGAGGTTTAGCAGAGCTTAAAAGAGACACAGCTGTGCCTAGGTTTTCAGGCAATCTTGCATTATTTATTCCCCTGAGCCTTTTTGGCCAAACTGCAACCCAGCAATCATTTTTCATTCCTTAGGTCTCCAGGTACCAAGCAACAGAGTAGGGCCATTTGGTAGTGCTAAAGTCACAGAGCCCAGCATAAAGCTTCTCCTCTGCATGCTTAAGCTGAAGAGTTTGATGCCTTCACAACAGGAAACAAGCCATAGCAAAGAACACACTTCTCTGCTCTAAGTATATGTTAACCACCTGCCCCCCCCATATTTATAAGTAAAAAATAAAGCAGTAAGTATGAGTTCTTACTGATTGAATGGCTTCCTGTTTGCACCTTGTAGTTTCCATTTAAAATTGCCACTTGAAATCTAAAGAGAATGAAAAGAGCTTTTCAATGATTGTGTTTTTTCACATGTGACAGGATGGCTCTTCCTGAGCCTGCACTTAACCTGAAATTGTGCTTTAGAAAGATAAACACAGGAGCTTATTAAGAAATGATGTTTTCATCCTGAATTACTTAGAAGCTCTGTGGAGGTCATATTAGCACCATATGAGTTGGTTCTATCAGGGCTGTAACAGCAAATACAGATTAGATTATAATTAATGCAAAATTAAATGGTCACCAGGGATGCTGATTTAAGCCTCCTGGCTTAAAGACCATAATTTCAAACTCTTTCTTTTTAGCACCTACTGAAGAAAGGTGTTCCTCAAGGAAGAAAAAGTGTCCCTAACATAAATGATGAAAAAGGTCAGAATATAGGGCAGATCTGATAACACCTTGCTGAATTTAAAAGTTTCAAGTAATATGACTCAGTAAGAGCTCAATTTCTATTTCTAGGTGTGGTTCTTGCCCTGTGGACTTTTGTCCAGCCTGAGATCAGCCTGTTCCTACACCATGGCCTTCCAAGCTGTCAGATTGCAGCATCACCATTCTGCTCCTCTGAGCTCTGGCTCAGGACAGGAGAGTTTACCAGGTAAGCCCAGACTAACAGAGCTACACTTGCACTTGCACAGCCACTCTTCCAGGGCAGCTCCAGTAGAGATGGATTTTCACCAGTTCCGTAAAGAACAGTTTGGTTTTCTCAAATGAAAGGGAAGCTGGCAGCTTCCCTTTTGCACAGGAGGTGTTACAGCTGGGGGAGCATTTCCCTCGAGGTGGTTTACACCAGGGTAAACCTACAGGGCAGGAAATGCTGGAAAGGAGAAGTGACACCAGAATGGAGCCTAAAAGCATAAGGACTGGCAGTTTATTTCAAGAAGTGCAGCTCAGATTTTCTATAATAGACCCAATCCTTGCTGCCAAATATGCCTTTCCTGTATGCAGCCTGGTTAAAAAGTTAATTATCCGGTAACTTTGGGCCTAGGAAACTGAGCATACTATAGGAACGTTTTCCCATTCTGCTTTTGTGAGCTTCCAATGTGTTTAGCATAAGAATACTTTTGCACTTACCTGCAAACCATTTTATTGTTTGTATAGATCCCACTTGAATGAAGCACACTGCTCTCTGAAAATAAATGTTAGCTTAAGGTTACAGAAGCTTCTTAAATTTCTCAACTCTGTTGGATATTAGCTGGGAAAAATAATGTAAAAATCAGTCTAAATTACACTTCAGAGCTGAAATCTTGAGAAAGTGGCTGATACAGTAACCAGGAATAGTATTTCTAAAATAATAAAACAGTTGAAAGAAAACAACCATTCATAACTTCAAAATACGACTCCAGTTTGTTTTTTTCAAATCAGTAGTTTAGTCATTGCAACCTACTGGCTGATGCACTGGGGGCAAAACACATCACTGCTCTTAGTACAGCTGCAGATGAAAATGGTCTCAAAACCTTTCACAGTGGTTTTTGGAGACAGTCTCAAAATAGACTTACATAATCATTCCAAATAAATGCATTGGAGACGGAATTATCTCTGATCCCTAAACCCAAATACATCTTTTAAATATTGCACCATTTCCTGTGGTTTTAGGTAATAAATATTGATTAAAAACTTCCAGGCAAAATTTTAAACATTCTGTTTTTCATAGCTGCAGGACACCAATTAATGCAGAAAAGGAATGCAGTTCACTTGAGAACTGCAAAGACACTTTGCCAGTAATGACAAGGAGGGAATGAAGCAGATCAGCAGATAAATCATACTCTGGAAAATTCATATCCTTTACCAATTTCAGTAATTGCTTTTTTGCTGTACCTGTATAACCTAGTGCAGAGAAAATAAACGTCATTACTTATAAAGGTAGACAGGGAATATGGCAATGAAAATAACAGCTATAAAACAGATGAGCTGGGCATCAAATGCTCCTCTGTACAGACACATTCCTATGCTCCCATGGGTCCATAACTTGCCAGTGTAGCCACAATCTTTCTCTCCATAGAGGCACTTAGCTTAGTCTTAAACTAAGTGGAAGACAAATTGAAAATCTGTTCTTCCATGGCTAAACACTTAGAGCCTTCAATGGAAACATTTTTCTTAATTGTCAGACTTGTAGTACTGGGTTCTGTTGTCATGATATTCACTCATTCCTAGTTAATACAGTCCATAATTGCATTTTTGTAGTTCACTTGAGGTGAAAGAAGCTCCCATCAATAAAAACATAAAAGCCTATAAGATCACTTCTTGCACATTAAGGACATATCACATAAACAGGGCATTTTGCTTTTTTTTCTGCATGAGCTAAATTCCACTTGGAGAACATTTCAGTAGCAGGCTTTTGTATTTAATTTAAAACAAAAGATTTCTCCTTTCCACTGCATCTAAATCTTGATTTATATCTCCTGTACCTCAACTGATGCCTATAGAGTGCCAGAAAACATCATGTTGTTCTCTTCTCATGATTTTCTACTGCACACAAAGCAACTTGGCTGACTGGTTTACTGTTTTATTCCTCTTTGTAGTTACAGCACAATTCATTTTCCAATCACACGGGGAGAGCAGCATGAAAATAGCTGAAACTTCAAAAAAGAAATTATTTCCATGTCAGTAGCTACTGCAGTGGACTTCTGTACTCAGAGGATAAATACCACTCTAGTCTCTAAGTGATCATTATCAGTCAATTTTAGAACTAGAATAAAAGTGCCCCAGGAGCAAAGGCATCACTAAATGCTGAAGAAACATAGGACCATATGGCTGTCCATTATTTACATCATAAAAGAATGTATCAGAAGCAGCATTTAGACAGTAATCTCTCCAAGTTTACTCCTCAGCTCAAAGATGAAATAGAGACAAATTTTTCATTAGTTTCAAGATTATTAAAAAATACTTCCCTCATGCTGTATTTATGGGGAAGTCAGGCAGAAAGAACCACCAGCCTGCTGAGCATGCCATAATTTACTACCGTTATGCCACTAGGATAAACATATTTTAATACTTAATGATTGAAAATATGAAATCTGTATTTTAGCAGGAGATTCAAAACTGAATGTCAAAGAGAGAACAACTATAAATACACCCTGTTTCTGGGTATTCCAGGCCCCTTTTAGGGGCACAGCACAAGTACATCCACCATTTTACCAGGCTGAAACGTAAACTTACCTTTCCCTTACCTTTTTTGTGTCTATTTAATTCAATCTCCAAAACCTATGCTTTTGTTTCCAAAGCAGTTACTTGTCTCTGCCAGTATAAGTGGAACGTAAGGCTGTTATTTAATACTTTATATTAAAATGACTGCACAACAGCAGTATCAAAGATGCTCTGCTCTCCTGTAATCTGATGCCACGTGAAAGAGATATTTGGTTTCCAGAGCAGAAATCACAGGCCACACTGCAGATTTGTTCAGGGAATTTGTCCAACTGGGAGTGCCTTACCCCTGACCAAAGTGAACACTTGGATAGGCTTTGAATTCTCAGGGCTGCCAAAGACATCCTCTCTGTTCAGAGGGAAAAGCCCAGTTCTCAGAGGCAAAACACACATGTGAACATTTTGAAATTAATTAAAGTTGGAGTGAAAACCACATGAACAGGCAAAAATAAGAGAAGACAAAATGCTGTTTATAATATGAGATAAAGGGCTTGGTATTTCACTCACAGAAAACAACTGGCTAGTGACTCATTCCAGACACTCTCTTTCTCCAGTCCTGTTGGGCAATCTCGTCTCCTGTGTAGCAGATGGTTTAGTTTTCTGCTCCTCACATGTGATTCTGGAAATCACACCTTTCCTCAAGTGATGCTATAGGAATACCAGACACTAACACAAGTATTTTTGGGGAACAATACTACAAGGCTGAAAACCAGACTCATAGAAATATGAGCAATTTATTTATAACTTCCATATTCTACTTCTATTCTTCTCTCTCCTTGTGGTTCTAAAGTTCCTTTTATTCCTGAAGATCTCACTTTTCCAGGGAAACTCAATAGGCCTCTTGAATCTTCTAGAATTTCATTTAAAAAAAAAATCATTCAAAGGTTTCTAAATTTTTCTCCCACTGTGTTTTCTATAGTTTTGAGAGAACACCAAACAGTGGCTCCTTCCCACCTGTCCACCCCCAGGAAAATAAAAACATCTCAGGAAAATGGAATTATTCCCATGGAAAGCTTCATTTGCTAGGAAATGCATTACTTTGATGAAAAAAACCTTTACTACCTTATAGCACTGTAAATCCAGTGAAGTAAATGCCCTTGTGCTGTTGCAGAGGTACACATTCTCTTAAACCAGAAAGCCAATCTGTAATCAGCTGTAATCCAATCACACAACACAGTATATGATCTAGAAAATGAGCTAAATTGCAGCATTATTAAGGATTTCTCTCTGGAGTATTTGTTGAAAGATACTGCTGGCTTTACTTATTTCAACCATGGAATTGCAGAGGGCACACTGAGGAGTGTGTGGGCCAGAAGATGCCCATACAGAATATCCGTGTGTACCACTGAAATTTTATGTCATTGTTCATCTAAAGTGATAATGTTGAGACTTTCTTTGTGGCTGAAAAGCAAGCACCTAATTCCAAGGTGGGTGTTATGCACATGATGGCACAGATGGGATATGGCAAGAAAATGTACAATTCCATATGTACTTATTAAGAGTTTGGGCAGAAACTGATTTGGCAGTTCAGGAGAGAGCTTGACTTGGTTCTGCCACATGGCAGAAAGAATTTGTGGATCCATTTGCTGTTTGCAGCAGCACTTGAAAAAAGTTACCTGACAATTCATACCTTGGGGGAATTCTGCTGTTGGGGCATAGAGAGTAGGAAGCAATCAAGTTATGACCATCAGATTAGGAGGCAGCTCTAGCAAGCATGATTTCTGGTTTTGAGAGCTGGCCCCTGGAAAGAAAGAGCAGTAATAATTTAGTAGGATATAATAGGAAGTGATTCAGAGTACAAATGGTACAATCAGATTAAAATCTCATTACATCTCTATTTTATGGGCTGCTGTGAAAATGTATAATATTATTTTTTATTTATTAAAACCAAGTATCTAGAGTGGCATTATAAATGCAGAAAGCATGTTCAGCTTCCTGAAATTGTGCAGAGCCTACAAAAGGCTAATGGGGCAGAAGAAAAGGAGAGAAGTAAAAAAAAACAAAATTAAAGATTGAAGGAGGCTTGAAACAAGAGTAAAGGAATGATTAAGGAGTCAAAATTACAGCATTTGTAAATGGTCATAGCTGTTCATCATTTGCACTTTTGGGACCTTCTGTAGCTGGTAAGACACTGGCTGCAAGAGCACTGAATTTTTGGGCAGGAATAGATGTGCAGATTATTCTGTGCTAACTGAACTTCTTACTGTTAGCAGTGAAAGAAAGCCAGGGTATTGAAAGGATGACAAATAATCACTGCTAAGTCCATAGATCAGGGACAAATCAAACAGAGTCATTTAATAAATTTCTCCATTTGCATAATTTTGAGGGGTTACCTGGAAAATACACTCCTCTCTTCAGGCAAAAGAGATAGTGTCTGAACCATTTCATGTAGTCCCTGATTGTATGTGTATATTTTGAAACCTGAAAAGAAACAATCAAGCTTATAACAGTCTGAAAGCCTTGAGGTCTAATGAAAATATCTAATATCACAACAGTCATTAATCTCATCGTGCTACAAATTAATTTCAGTGTTTTGTTCATTATATGCCTACATTTACAGCATTTATCTTCATGCCAAATGAATCATACAATATTCCAGTTGAGGATGAATCCTCAATAGCTCATTGTGTGTCTGCTGGGACTCTTCACACCTGTCAGGTAATGCCTAAGCTCAAAGTGATTAAGTGCTTCTCTTATTAGGATTTCCACTACTTGCAAATAACCCACAATTTAAAGGAAAAAAAGCTCAACTATGTTTAAGCAGCACTGATCTGAATGCCTCCTCTATTTCTCCTTTCAGACCTTTTATATTAAAAAGATGCATTTCTCCTCAGTATTACATCTCAGAGCTGAGCTCCTTATGGATTCCAAAAGATCTGCAATCCTTTGCTGCCCTCTCGGAGCAGAACAGCAGTAAGAGACAGCAACATCACAAGGTAAAGCTCTGACAAGCTGCACCAATACGATTGCCCTTGTTTTCAATTTGAGTGTCAAATGAGAGGCAATCATACTCCACATATTCTCTTTAACTGAAAAAAACTCAAAATTAAACTACCACAAACGTGAGTTGACAAACTTTTATAGTAAATAAAACTATTTCACCAGCAGCCACACATTAAGTCAAGCGGCTTTAGTTTCTCTTAATTTCTCCCAGTTCTACCAGCCAAAAAAAGAAGCCTTGGGAAACACCATTTGGTTGACAGATTTGGGTAACAAGAGAAAAATCAAATCCAGCATGGATTCTGCTATTCACCTCAATTCTTTATCTTTATTTTAAGCCTCAGAAAAGATTTCCCACAGAGAGCAGCTTCCCCTGTAAGGTTTCATCTGATAAAATACCAGATAGAGTATAATCATTAGAATATTACTGTAAGAACATTATAATTAGGATAAAAAGCAGAGGTTAAGGAGCACCATTTTTCTATATTATTCTTTGTGCTTCTTCCATTAGGCTCCCATCAAAGTCTAGAGCAGTGGCACACACTAAAATATGATAAGGAAGGTATTTAGCTAGCTAGTATAACAAACTTGAATCCTGGTTTATATTTCTTATCCAATTTCATGAACTCCAGACAGATCTTAACACCCTCTAAGGATTTCCTTCTGCTGATTCTTTATACTACATTAATTATCCAATACTAAGGAAGTTGACATTGCTGATATCTCCCTTGAAGGTAACAAGACAAAGATCAAAATAAAATAAAACTTGAAAACAAATTGTAAGGCTTCAGATAAGTCCTCTCCCTGCAGAGGTTCAACCTCACACAAATCTCTGTTGGTTTCGCCAGCCAGGAGCTAAAATCTATTCATCTCCATAGTTTTCCAGGGTGCTCCAATCCTTTATCCTAGAAGAGCCCAAGTGCCTGTTTACACTTTGGCAAAATGGTGGCAGGTTTTCCTAGCAATTAAATCACTTTCCAAAGTAACTGATGACAATTAGCACCAACAATGCTTAGATTAAAAAAAAGCAAAATGCACCAAATTTCTCACAAAAATTGAATAAATCTAGGGAGCTGAAAAAGAAAAAATAGGTTTTGCAATCCATACTTATATTCATAGAAGGATAGAGAATTCCACGTGGAGAATCACATTGTGTGGATTTAATGACAGTGTTCAGGTCCCTATTAGATATATATATTAGATAAAGCTTACACAGTTTGAGATTTCTCAGCAGAGATTAGAATTAGGCTTTGAAAGATACCCTGAAACTTATATTTAGGAGGTAGCTAGTTTGGAAGGTCCTTTTCAAAGACGGAAGTCTCAGGTAATTAATTTTTCCTCCTTAAAATATGCTTTAAGCCATGATTGACACAATGTAGGTGATGGCAGAGAGGTGAACCTGGTGAGGCAGCAGGAAGTTCTTTTTCCAGACCTAGTCTTGGAGGTGACAGCTCCTGGTCATCAACTCAGAAGCCCAAAACCACCAGACAGCAGAGGACAGCCCTGTTGAATTAAAGTCCTAGGAAACCTGTATTTACACACAGACTACTCAGGGGCAGGGTGCTCTCAGACCGTGAGATTGTACCCTCCTGACAGTCCTCCTTGTCAGTTTGCTGGGGGGAAACCTACAAAATCCTCTCATCACTTCTGCATCAGCATGCAACGGCTGCCTGGCCCCAGCACAGTCAAATACTTATCCCAGCATAGGAAATCTTCTCTTCCCAGCACCTTTCCCAGACCTGCTCACAGTGAAGCTTTGCTGCACCACCAGCTTGCCTGGCAGTCAGAACAACAGAATTCTGGAGAGAAAAAGTGAAACAGAAACCGGCTGAATTTTTAGCATGAGGACGAGCCTGCCAAAAGAAAAAGGTATATCCTCTACATTTCTACTAAAAGCTGTTATTTTGTGCTTTGCTTTGGGAAGAGGTTGCTCACTGGCTTATCACTGTCTTGCACAATCCTGATGATTGCCCACCTCAGTCTTCCCACCCCTATTTACAGGGGCTGCATTTGACATTCCGGGGATGAGCCCTTTGCTCTTTGCCTGGCCTTGGGCAGACATTGGCTGTGCTACAGTGCAAATGAACAACCCAAGAATCAACTGCAGGCACTGAGTTTTGACTGTAAGGTTTTTCCCCTTTTTTCAGCCAGTGGATATATTTTTCAGTAACCTAGGAGAGGGAAGGTTATTTGAGGCCTGTTTTACTGCAGTGAC